TTTACAACTAAGTTATTCGTCCACTCCGTTCACTTTTTAATAAAGAATTCAGAAGTAATTTACAACTTGACTCGACTACATTACTACAATAACTTATCTCTCTTGTATTTCAAAAGAAGATCACACCTTTTTTTTGGGAGTCACCGCAAGAATTGCATCCCCCAAGGGACCAACCATGCTCTCCAAAGCGGGAGGTAAACTTAACACTCTGAATATCCAGACGTGGATGAGCTTAGCGGCCCTAGTATAACTAGATGCACGATGGCTTGCGCCGGGATTCCTAGAAGTAACCATAATGGTCTTTTTCAAGGCTTAGCTAACTGAAGGATTTTGGGTCTTTTGGCCTAATTCGTGGGGAACCGGGCCCTAGAAATGGAGGGGCACATTACGCAGTACACTCTACGGGTGGCTGTCCTGGAAACCTAAAGCTGCAACCAAGTGCACTAAGGTAGCCCACAGTTTTCCGGAAGACTTCCTAGGGCGTGCCCTTCAAGCAGTGAAGCCACGTTAGACTTGTACAAACTGCGCATCCTTGGGAAAGGTTAAATAAGCTAGCATGTATACATGAAGTTTTATCCACTACCGACATGCTATGTAGTCGATAAACTTCATCTTAACCAAGCACGGAACAATTTACACCAAGTCTTAAAGTGTTGTGATACTTGTTATGCAACCTACAGAGTTGAAGGAAGCTAAGGTTAACAACTTAGTGGTTACGCGGGCTTGTCTACTTCTGTAAGTAAGACATCTGGCTGCCAACCCTATGGCTAACAACTTTGCAAAAAGTTCTATTCTAACACCTACGGCTGCATAGGCTACGTGAGCCTGTCTGTTTATAAAAAAAGTTGCGCACCTGCCACTGGTCTATAAAGTCTAGAGGTTAGAGCGTAAACCAGAAAAGTGAAGATGGAGAAGAGCTAAGGAAATAAGTTTATTAAATCTTCTAGCAAAACTGATAAACAACTAGTAAAGACCAAAGAAGTTCAAGCAAAAGCAACAAAGGAAAACAAAGAAAATCCTAAAGGCTACCTAGAAGACAACTCTTCAATAGCTTGGACATCTCAAGGCTACTCAGTCGCCACATCTTCAGCAGCCTTCATGTTCTTAGTAGTAGCATTATCCGGTGCTTTACCTTCAGTTGTCCTAGCCTGGGCACCAACTTTTCCAACTACTTCACCGATAGAAGACTCAAAAGTAAAGGCGAGCAAGTCCTCTGGAGAAATAGAGAATGTCTCAAAATCTTTACCCGAAAACTCAAAGTCAGACGGTCGCCCATAGAGATGATCTACATAACCCAGCTTGCAGAAGTCGGCTTGGCTCTGAATAAGCGAAGCCTCGAACCTAGCTTTCTCACCCTTCAACTGCTCATTTTCTTCAAGCAGGCAAGCATGAACCCGTTGCAACTCCTCAACTTCCTTCTTCAGATTGTCATTGATCTTCAAAGCATTTTGAAGTTCCAACACTTGGGGCTCAAGCCTATCAACAACCTTTTTGAAGTGGATCACTTGATTATAAGCAACAATTAGTTCTTTATCCTTTGCATAAGCAGGGGAGCGGATTCAGAGATGGAACGCTCAAGATCTTGAACCTGAGGTATGTAACACTCGATTTCCTTCTCTGCACTTTCATACTTTATTTGGATCGCATCAAGCCTAGTCTTCAAATCCACGATCTTTTGGCGAGTGGTCTCAAGCTGTAGAGAAATGGGGGCACAAGTGTTAGATCTCTTCAAAGCAGCAAGCTTAAATTCCAATTTCTTGACTTTTTTGACCGAGGAGTAAACTTCAGCAGCCATGGTTCTTGCCATCTCTTTAGCAGCCTTAGTATCTTCTTGGTCAAGGAACATAGACTCAGCTGCCAGAATCGTTGTTTTCTGCATCATGGCTAGCAGAGCAGTTTTCCTATACTCGGATGTGTGCTTTACGAAAAGACTCGGACCAACAATTTCCTTGACGCCATTAAGAAACTTGGCACATATATCCATGTCTTCTAATAGATTTGGCTTCAAAAGTGTGCAAATCTCAGCAACTTCCCCATAAACAGTCTTGGTGGATTCTTCAAGCTTGCCTAGGCGAGCAGCTTCTTTCTTCTCAGTAGACGAGTTAATCGTAGTAGCGGAAGAAGCAGGTTTTGGCACCACTTTAGCAGGCAAAGGCGCTTTATCACTCTTCATAGTAGCAAGCCTCTCTAAAGGTGAGCCAAATGTAGCTCCAGACGAACGCTTTGGCACAAACTTAAGCACCGGAGGCACGAAAGAACTTCTGCGTTGAGCAATCCTTTCAGCAATCAAGCTAGCAGCCTTCAGAGTAATAGGCGTCACTGGCATAAATTTAGCAGTTCTTTCTTTCTCGCCGTTAGAAGAAGTCAAGTTAATCACAAACTTGGGAGCAGCTGGTGAACCTTCACGAGCAGTGGAAGAAATCTTTGTTTTCTTTTCAGCAGGTGTCTCCTGCACAGGCGGGGAAGGTTTCTTTTTCCCTCCTTCGTTTATAGTAGGCTTCACCACGCTGATAGGACGAGTAAATGCCTCAGCTTTGATTCGCTCTATCTCCTCTCTCGGGGGCAACCCATCTTTTTCCCTATGGAGAGGATTGAGCAGCCAACGCTATTCACGATACTTGGAAGGGATACCCAGAGCAACATGCACCTTTCTCATGTTTGGAGAAGCCTTAGGAGTGGAGCCGAATTCCAAATCTACAAAAACAACGGAAGACAATTAGAAAAATTGAAAAGTAGTTTGGCACTAAAGCAAAGCAGCCGAGAAGATTAAGTAGCTTGCTTACCAGATATGAAGACCGTTGGTACACGCAGCTCGGGGGAAGAATCAGACTCCTATTCTCCATTTATCTTCAAAGTTTCCTTGGCCCAATTATGATCACCCTTGCTCAAGTTATCAAAAAGCCTATGGCGAGATCGCAGCTACACAGCTACGCAGCTACCCGACTCCATCAATGTGACTTATGTCAACAAAGTACCAAAATTCGTTGACAGTTAGATCTAAGTCAAAGAATTGGCTTAGATTGTGGAACCCCACCATCACACAGACCGTATTCGGATTACATTGGGCAGGGGCACATCTCATGAAGCAAAGTACTTCTTGGAAGAAATGTGGCATAGGAAAAGTAAACCCTCACACGAAATATAGTAGGGGTGGAACTTGATGGCTCTCCGAGTCCCACTGCATGGTTCCCGGCTGCTACCATCCCTAACTCGCTTCACGCACACCCCCGACGGAATGGCATGCCAGTATGCCTCAAGAAAGTCTCTAAACAAATCATCTGAGCTAATCTTGAAGTGAGCGGCTCTGAAGTAGCCAACCTTGCTCAAAGACCCGCCTTGATGGTACAATGGCGGTACACCATCATCATTCTTGTGGCTCGAGCAAGACATACTTGAAGAAATTCTACAAAAAGAATAAGGAAGATTCATTAGAGGGTTGTCAAAAAAAAAAGAAAAAAAACATTTGGGAAACCAAGCCGCAAAAACCCAGCAAAATTACCAGGCCCCACGGCCTGGCTTATTTCTCCTCATGCCAACGCCCCAAAAAACATATGAATGCACACGGCACAACCTTGTCGTGGCCTCCCAAAACTGTTCTCTCACAAATCCTCAACTTTCATCAAGTCAAATTTCAAGCCCTAAGGCTCCCAAAAAAAATTGTGAAGACAAGGAAATTAAATTTTTCCTACCTAGAAACAACAAGAAGACGAAGCAAGCAACGAAAGACGATCCTTTGCACAGGGAAGATGTAGAAGATTGCTAGAGGAGGGGGAATAAATATCCTTTAAGCTCTTTCTCGCTTATAGGGTGAAATAAGTTTCTCTCAAAAAAGTTGATTTAATAATCCACTTAAGGTGGGCTTAAATAAGCTTTGAGAGCAATTTTATTTCCTTTTCCTAGAAGGATCTAATTTCCTATTAAAAGAGAAAATCATCGTCAAAATAGGAAACAATTCAAAGTTTCCCAAGACAAGAAAATCTCTACACCTATTGCCCTTTTCTGCGAGTAGCCCAACAGGTGTAGGGGTATTTGTGGAGCCCAAAATAACCACAAGGTGACACGTAGATTTTTGGATAAAGAAGACAAATATACCCTTGAGGTCTATCAGGATTCCTACGCGTGAGTAGCAGACAATCATCCTCAACTAAGTTAGAAATGCCCCAGAATAGGTAATAATTCAAGACCTATTTTATTCCATATATATTTCTTACCTCTTTTTCCCTCTTTTAGCTAAACAATTAGCCATCATTACATAACCTTCAAAATATTAATTCCAAAAATATGTTAATTGGCTAATTAATGGATTAATCACCTAAGTAATCCATTAAATGATAATTAAATCACCCAATTAACCCCAAAATCCCAAAGGGCCGGCCACCCTTGTTGATTCCATCATATTTACCTATTTTGTCATATTAATTAGCTAGTTAATTTGGCAATAATTCCATTTGCTAAATTAATTAGTCAATTATTCCCATAACTCCTGAATTCAACCTAAATCAAGAACCTAGCCCACAAAATGAGCTAGCTGGCCAAACCTCTCTTACCCAAAGAGGCCGGCCGTTCACCTATAAAAAGCCCTCCGTTCTCTCAAAAAAACTTCCTTCCAACACACCTAAAAAAACCCCAAATATTCTCTAAACACTTTTCTCTCTAAATTCTAACTTTAGCATTGGAGGTTCTTCGGCCAAAGCCCCCCCACCCACCCACAAAATTCATTGTGGGCGCAAGAGGCTCTTGGCCTTAACCCTAAGGTGTTAATTGTTTTGTAGGTGCAATTTTGTCCAAGATCAATGAGGAAGAAATTTGCATCCACACCTACAGTAGATAATTTTGTTTAATTATTGGTAAACGAGCTATGTAAATGCAAAGAAAGAAGCTATTGGGGCTCTAGGTTGATTGCTTACAAGCATGCGTTTTTAAAAAGAATGCCAAGGAGGACAAGTCCAGATATTATGTAGCCGCTGCAACATCCCGAAAAGGGCATAAATTGTAAGTACCTGAAATCCGTGCTTGTTTCACTAGGTACAAAGCCTTCCAGATCAAATCATTCAGGTCCAATCTCTTCTGCTCTCTCCCACACCTTGTAAAACCATAAGGGAAAAAACACCCCGAATACGTTTTTAATTTCCATGATTAGAAGGAAAACATATTCTCAAAAAAGATTTGAGGGGAAACATATTCATATTACAGTTTCTGTATTCTTCAGTACTTTATATTCATTATTCCATACATTTTTAATTAACATGTATAGTGCACTGGGTTCAAATTTAACGTAACATGGTACCTCTGAAGAACGATGGATATTGTATACTGATATCCTGATTTCTTGACCACTGACTTTGTAATTTCCAAGGAGCACGTCAGCAACTTGAGCTCTTCTTATCAAAACCTAAATAAATTAGTGTAAGATGTGAGTGTCAAGAAGAATGAGTTCTTGTTCTCGACAAACTAATAGCTCAGTGTATGAGTTATCATGTTGAGGAAATTCCGATCTTATTTGGCTAAGATTAAGAGTCCTAATAACATGCAATTATATTCAAGTAACCTTATCAAGACTTGACAAGAGTTCAATACCTATAAGGACTATACTGAAACCCCAATCAGTTTGGAATATCCAAGGTATCAGTTAATAGGTCTGATATCAAGGAAATACGGATATATATAGGGAGGTCCCTATGATGAGTCCATATTATACTATATATTTTACCCTAGTCTTAGTAATAATTTATTGGTTATTATGTGTGAATTATATTTCTAATGTAGGACATTTGACTTCCTCTGGAGAAAAAAGAAACGGATGAATTTTGGAGTAATTCCAATTGGAGAATGTTCGTGAGTCTTTCAAGATGATTTATCAAAGTTTCAGATTTTTCTACTTAGCCGTTTGACCTTGGCGATGAAATAAAGGCCCAACGCGCAACTTTCCCAGATTGACGTTTCTGGACGTTTTGGGTATTTTGGAGGTCAAGAGGGCATATTTTGAGGAATATTCCTTCTGACGATTTGTAGGGAACAACTTTAGCTTTCAAAAAAGACCTTTTGGGACTAAATCAGAGTTGATTTGATTAGTCAAAGTCTGATTTTCTGAGAAGTTCAAATTTTAGTTCAAATAGGAAACCTTTTTATTTTCTTTTTTATTATTTTAATTATGTTTCCTAGTTTTACTCTAAGACTTTTTAGGGTTTTATTTTCTAGTAGTATAAATAAGGCTTTTTAGCCTTTAGGGTTTTTTGGTAGGAGAAGACAGGGGAGGGGAGAAAACGCACGCAAACTTTAGAGAGCTTTTGGATTCAAGTTTATTTTCATGGTGTTTTCTATCCTTATTTTTAATAATATTTCGTTATATGATTGCTAGTAACTAAATTCCATTTGCTAGGGTGAGGCCACGAGCCTTAGTAAGAATACGTAGTTTCTTTTCAACTTGCTTATGATATTATGCATGCAAGTTTGAATTATTAATCACTGGTTTATACTGTCTAATTGTCTTAATGCTTAGCTACCATTACGATCTTTAAAAAAGTAATTCGATGCAATTTTGGTCGGAGGTCGGTCCCTGAAATTGACGAAGGCTTCTTGTGATTAATATGTGTAAGTTCACTTAGGATGAATACCACGTCTTAAGAGTTGTATGGTTTTTCAAAAAGTTTCACAAAGTTTAATGAGTTATGCATGTTTGGATTTGATCTGAATATCACAGACGAGTTGCATGTTTGATATACCTCTATGTTGGGGGTCCAAGTAGGCATATTTTAAGAAAACCTAACCTTCAAAATATGCATATGTAATTCATAAGTAATTGAAAGAACTACATAGGATTGTTAAGATAACAGCGGAACCCTAGACTTCCACAATTTAATTTTCAAAAACAATTTCTTTTAGTTTATTTTATTTTGTCACTTTATTTAATTATTTTCTATTAAATTCGTTTTTATTATTTGAAATCACAAATCACCTTTTTCCCAAACTTTTTTTTTAAATCATTAATTAAGATTTGATTTGATACAAATTATTCATTCAATTCCTGAGGATAATGACCTTGCTAGAGCCGACTATATTATAATTACCTTGTATTCTTGCAAGTATTTATAGTGTTTTTATCCCTACTTTTGCAGGTGGTAAAATGCCTATCACCCTGCACTCACAATATTATCCTATCTCATGCTAAAACCCTATTTGATAGCAAGGACTCTCGACTGCTTGAGTGTAGAAGACTCCTTATGAAACCCTAGCAGTCATGGCTTCTTCTTCTTCCTCCACTTCGGAAGATAAGTTTATTCCCTTTAACTGTTTGATTGGTTTATTGTAATTATTTTGGTTTTATCTATGATCCTAGTAACTTGTTGATTTTCAAATTACTTCTTACAATTAGAGCAATGGAACCACCAAGAATAAACACGAGTTGATATGAACTTATACCATCCACTGTTTTTTCAATTTTTCTTGATTGCATTACAGTTCATATAAACGGAAGGGAACTTAACAGACAGGAGGATGTGGGAAGAGACGAAATGATTCCATTATGCAGCACGTCAGGTACTTCAGGCTCTTTATGTTATCATAGGATGAGCGATGTCCTTGTAAAATGCAAGGTTGTTGTCCCAAAGATTGTTTGGCTAATTTGTAATTAAATTAACTCTTAATTAATTAGTAAAAAAGATATTTATCAAAGATTTGAGATTTTTGAATTTTTAAAGATTAAATTAACAATAAAAGAAATCTAAAAATTTGGAAAATAATGGCAGCAAAGAAGAAAACGATTTTAAATTAAAATAATTATGAGAAAGACTAGGGTTTAACCGTTATCGTTAGGCCTGGCAAACAGGTTGTGTCTGTCGTGTTTGTGTCGTTTTCGTATAACACATGTTATCTTAACAGGTCGTGTCGTGTCACACCCGTTATCTTAACGGATCTTTAACAGGTCGGGTCAATTTACCCAACGGGTAAAGTGACCTGACCTGTTATGACCCGTTCAAAAAAAATATATTTTTTCCCTTAAATTTGCACATACCACACATTGCCACATAAATATTACTTCAAAACATTAAAACACATTTGTCGTTTAAGTATTGCATCTACACTTGAAAATAAGAGCCAAATAAACAAACACCCATACACTACTAGTCTATTACAAAATATTAAATGTGCAAGGATATGCAAAATGAAAGAGTTTTTGTTTTCAAGGTTGTGAAGCCTTTCTCAAAAGTTTAAACCTTGCCAATGGAACTCAAAGCTTACATGCTATTCCCTTTACAAAATCCTCAATTTTCATCGATCATCATGACATAAGATTTTGTGGTATCCACTAGTGTAAATATTTTAAATTGAAGATCAAATTCATTTACTGTATTCATATAAGGTCAATGAGTATAGCTGTAAAAAATCATCAAAATCAGAGTTAAAATAACCGTTAAAGCGTTATTTTTTGTTGATAGCTGTTGAAAAGTTTTGTTCTATTACTTGACCTCTTAATGTTTGTTTTTTGCAATTTTTGGCGTATGCGATCTTGAAGCATATACAAACAAGTTTGACGGTTGGATCGTTGAAATTATTTTCGTAGAATGCGTATCCCATCAAAACGATGTATTCACCAAAACTTTTTATTTATGCCTTCATTAAGTATAACATAAGATTTTGTGGTATCCACTAGGGTGAATATTTTAAATTGAAGATCGAATTCATTCATTGTATTCATATAGGGTCAAGTAGTGTAGCTGTAAAAAATGATCAAAATCAGAGTTAAAATAACTGTTAAATTGTGACTTTTCATTAATAACTGTCGAAAAGTTTTGTTCCATTACTTGATCTCTAAATGTTTGTTTTTTGCAATTTTTGGCGTATGTGATCTCGAAGTATATACAAACATGTTTGACGGTTGGATCATTGAAACTATTTTTGTAGAATGCGTATCCCATCAAAACAATAGATTCACTAACACTTAAGAGTTTATTCATACTTTCATTAAGTATAACATAAGATTTTATGGTATCCACTAGTGTAAATATTTTAAATTGAAGATCGAGTTCATTCATTTTATTCATATAGGGTCAAGGAGTGTAGCTGTAAAAAAATCATCAAAATCGGAGTTAAACTAAATGTTAAATCGTGATTTTTCATTGATAACCGTCGAAAAGTTTTGTCCCTTTACTTGATCTCTAAATGTTTGTTTTTTGCAATTTTTAGCGTATGCGATCTCGAAGCATATACAAACAAGTTTGACGATTGGATCGTTGAAATTAATTTCGTAGAATGCGTATCCCATCAAAACGAGAGATTCACTAACACTTAAGAGTTTATTATTCATACTTTCATTAAGTATAACATAAGATTTTGTAGTATCCACTAGTGTAAATATTTTAAATTGAAGATCGAGTTCATTCATTGCATTCATATAGGGTCAAGGAGTGTGGCTGTAAAAAAATCATCAAAATCGGAGTTAAAATAACCGTTAAATCGTGATTTTTCAATGATAACCGTCAAAAACTTTTCTCCCATAACTTGATCTCTACATGTTTGTTTTTTGCAATTTTTGGCATATCTCGAAGTATATACAAACATGTTTGACGGTTAGATCATTGAAATTAATTTCATAGAATGCGTATCTCATCAAAACGATAGATTCATTAACACTAGGTGTTTATTCATACTTTCATTAAGAATAACATGAGATTTTGTAGTATCCACTAGTGTAAATATTTTAAATTGAAGATCAAGTTCATTCATTGTATTCATATAGGGTCAAGGAGTGTAGCTGTAAAAAAACATCAAAATCGAAGTTAAAATAACCGTTAAATCGTGATTTTTCGTTGATAAGCATCAAAAAGTTTTGTGTTGTTACTTGATCTCTAAATGTTTGATTTTTTCAATTTTTGGCGTATGCGATCGGGAAGTATATAAAAATATGTTTGACGGTTGGGTCGTTGAAACTAGTTTCGTAGAATGCGTATCCCATCAAAACAATAGATTCACTAACACTCGAGAGTTTATTCATACTTTCATTAAGTATAACATAAGATTTTGTGGTATCCACTAGTGTAAATATTTTAAATTGAAGATCGAGTTAATTCAATGTATTTGTATAGGGTCACGGAGTGGAGCTGTAAAAAAATCATCAAAATCGGAGTTAAAATAACCGTTAAATCATGATTTTTCATTGATAACCGTAAAAAAGTTTTGTCCCGTTACTTGATCTTTGAATGTTTGTTTTTTGCAATTTTTGGCATATGCGATCTCATAGTATATACAAACATGTTTGATAGTTGGATCGTTGAAACTAGTTTCGTAGAATGCGTATCTCATCAAAACAATAAATTCACTAACACTTAAGAGTTTGTTTATACTTTCATTATGTATAACATGAGATTTTGTGGTATCCACTAGTGTAAATATTTTAAATTGAAGATCAAGTTCATTCATTGTATTCATATAGGGTCAAGGAGTGTAGCTTGTAAAAAATAATCAAAATCGGAGTTAAATTAACCGTTAAATCATGATTTTTCATTGATAACCGTCGAAAAGTTTTGTCCCTTTACTTGATCTCTAAATGTTTGTTTTTTGCAATTTTTAGCGTATGCGATCTCGAAGCATATACAAACAAGTTTGACGATTGGATCGTTGAAATTAATTTCGTAGAATGCGTATCCCATCAAAACGAGAGATTCACTAACACTTAAGAGTTTATTATTCATACTTTCATTAAGTATAATATAAGATTTTCTAGTGTCCACTAGCGTAAATATTTTAAATTGAAGATCGAGTTCATTCATTGCATTCATATAGGGTCAAGGAGTGTGGCTGTAAAAAAATCATCAAAATCGGAGTTAAAATAACCGTTAAATTTTGATTTTTCGTTGATATTGGTCGAAAAGCTTTGTCTCGTTACTTGATCTTTGAATGTTTGTTTTTTGCAATTTTTGGTGTATGCGATCTCAAAGCATATACAAACATGTTTGACGGTTGGATCGCTGAAACTAGTTTTGTGGAATGCGTATCCCATCAAAACAATAGATTCACTAACACTTAAGAGTTTATTCATACTTTCATTAAGTATAACATAAGATTTTGTGGTATCCACTAGTGTAAATATTTTAAATTGAAGATAGTGTTCATTCATTATATTCATATAGGGTCAAGGAGTGTGAAATTATGCATACTCATAATAAATACTAGAGAAAATATTAAGACAAAAAAAATCAAAAACACCTTAAAGTTAAGTCTGAAATTCTTCAAGAACCCTTCTTTTCACCCACAAGAGATTAAGGAACAGACCCCTAATTTATATTACATATGCATTTCAATTATCCCTAATAAAAGTCTTAGGTTTTGACTAGAAAACCAAATAATAATAAAATAAACTAGAAATAAAAGTCCAATTAGGCTAGGAGAATCTGCACTGCAACTGTCCAGCCAGGTTTTAGCTCTAGAACTCCTGCAAATCCGGTCCATGATAGCTTGTTTTAAAGAATGGAACAATCTGAACACATCTCCATAAGGAGTCAAACCCAAATAGGTCATCTTGGGCTCCAAAACTCGCAATCAAGCCCGAAACGTCATTTTTCCACCACCGCGCACTGCTCCTTTATTCCATCGTCAGAAAAAAAACCGTTTTATGGAAAAATCTAATATTTTGACACGATCAAGCTCAACAACTCATGAACGTCCTTCAATTGGAATTACTCCAAAGTACATCCATTTGATCACGTTTCGCCCCAGAGAAAGTTGAAAGTTCTATATTGAAAATACACTTCAAAGTATCAAAATTCTTCTAAAATAATAACCAAAATAAATAAGATTATGGTAAAGTATGTAACTCATCATAAAACTCTATCAACTTCTTCTTGTGCTTTCACAGTGTGTGGGGATTCTACATTAACGAAAATAATCAAATACATGAATAATTTAGTACACATTGGTACCTCACCAACCTATGGGAATGAGAGAAAAAAATAGAAGGAATGGATACCTTAGAAGATATATCGTCCAAGTCACAACTGAACCAGTCGTCTCATGTCCAGCAACCAACATATACAAAAGATCATCTCGCAATTCCTCACTTGATACCTGAAAAGTATTGCATCCTTGTAAACACAAATTTTCCTGACGACGAACGAGACAAGAACACGTGTACAAAGTAATATTTTGTATTAATGATTTTGGGGTTACAATCTCTTTGTAATTTGGTCCTTTGATTCTATCGCCGTAAGATGTTGGTTTGTTGATGTGTTGTTGATCCAAGGGCTGTCGAGGCTTGATCTTAGATGAACAGTTGGAAGTTTCTTCAAGGGCCGTCGTGGCTTGATCTTGAAGTTGTTGATCCAAATGGTCGTTGGGCCTTGATCTTAGGATGAACAGGTGGGAGCTTCTTCAAGGGCCGTCGGGGCTTGATCTTGAAGGATGGCTGTGCGGATTTCTTCAAGGGCCATCGGGGCTTGATCTTGAGTTGGTGGAAGTTTTTCAAGGGCTGTCAGGGCTTGGCTTTGAGTTGGTGGAAGTTCTTCAAGGGCCGTTGGGGCTTGATCTTGAAGGATGGTTGGATGTGTGGATTTGTTGATGTTTGTTGATCCAAGGGGCCGTTGGGGCTTGATCTTAGGATGAACGATGAACACTTTCTTCAAGGGCCATCGGGGCTTGATCTTGAAGGAGGATTTGCTTGAGAGCTTTAGAGTTTCAAGGCTTCAAGGTTTTGGTGTAAAGTGAATTAGTTGATTTTTTTTTGGATCCTTGATACCTTGATGGAGAAGCCTATTTATAGGCTTTGAGAATGAATCACCACCACAAATTTTCTTGAAGTAAGTGGATGATGTAGGTGAAATGAGTGGAGATTGTAGGTGAAGTAAGTGGATGTTGTAGGTGAAGTAAGTGGATGATGTAGGTGAAAAGAGTGGAGTAAGTGGGTGAAGTAAGTGAATGATATAGGTGAAATGAGTAGAGGTTGTAATTTTAATGCATTGGTCAACATTTATTTTACCAAAATTTTGATGTCTACAATCCTCAGTCCTCATGCTTCACTTTAGAACTAAAAAGTATAGCGATCTTAGTGTTTACTTTATAGCCAAAACTAATGACAGAAGAAGACTTGGATTACTCTTGAGCTCATCAACAATCTTAATCATTCTTCGAAAATGAATAGGTTAATGAAAAACATCTTTAGTTTTTTCAAACAAACAATTATATGCATAAAGTCTAGTACAACTCAAATCAGGCATATTAGAAAAAGAGGAAGGCAATGAGCATTTTCGACATATGCATATGCAGATAATACACTCTCATTTGTCATAACACTGTTACTATGTAAGAAGATCAATGCTCTTTTTTTAAAAAAGATAAAAAAGTGTTCCCCTTTTCAACATGAACCTTAATTTTGTCAAAGGGTAAATGTTTATTGAAATTATGGATGCTAAAAATATACGAGCAGTTATCATCATGAACGTTAGTATATGCTGACCTTTTCCCTACTTGCAAGCAAAAAACGAAGGATGCTTGGATCAGTGTTATTTATATATTCTTCCTCATCAATTCTTTCACCCTTAGCTTCCACAATTTCTTTGCACTTAGCAATAAGTTCTTCAACAGAACTCCTGATCCCTGAAACCGTTTTCAGCTTTTATTTGTCTTGGGATTATCTTTTGCAAACATCAACCTATAACAACTGAAAAAAGAAAATACGTAACTGTGGTCACAATCCACAAATGGAAGGGAAAAAAAATACAGCAGCAAAGATTAGGAAACTTGAGAGAGTGCTTGCCTTCTAATATGGCAATATATCAATAGAGTGAAGCTCAGCCTCTTTCAATGCAGTGTAAACAGAATCAATAACCTGGAAATAAGCATTTAGAACAAAAATTGTAGTTGAACAAAGACAGGCCTATAACATCAAGAGTTTACTGAGAAAATCTGTCCTCCATGTTTACAACAGTTCCATTAAGCGCATTGGGTTGTAGCTTTTCCACTAATCTCTCAGCACATTTACAAAATACTCGATCAACTATCACGGACTAGTACTTATTGTAAAGAGATGCCTGAGGAGACTCCAGATGTGCACTTGTTAGGATTCAACGTCATGTTGTACGCTTGCAGAAGTTGAAATGTCTCTGCGAGGTTCTTAATGTGATCTATACGTCTTTAACCTTTCAGCATGATGTCGTTTGCATAGATTTCCGTGGTTTGGCCATGTAAGCCTTCAAAGATTCTATTCACTGATCCAGAATACCATCACTTTCCTAGAAGGAACAAAAAGGTAAAGAGAATCTACGCCAAGGTGGCGTGTAAGGACGTTAAGGATTTATGATGTCAAGGTGGCCTATTAGGATGTTATGACATCATAAAGTGGTACCATTACTCTGAAAGAAACTTCTATAAGGAAAACCATGTAAACAAAGTCGACTAGGTGGTGATCGCATCCAACACACAGTGATCAATGACCTAAAAAGTAATCTAGTCCAAAACCAGCTTGGCTAACGATGTGATCTTGGCCGGGGCCACATGCTTAAAGTTTGGATCTATGTGTAGATTGTGCCAGATAATATCTGGATTGATCTCTGGCATTACTTAAGGGGACCATGCGAACACATCTTTGTTTTGCTGAAGAAAGGCAGAGCTCATCTTTTTCTTGTTCGCTAAGCTTGGAACCTATCCGCACCTTCCTTTCGGGGTGACATGGGTCAAGCATGACAAGTATGACACCTTTTTATGGCTTCCATCCTTCTTCTTCTGTCGATGAGTCACGTTTGGAGCCATCTTCTTGATCCTGGTTGGAGTCGTCTAGAGTTTTCCTGTTGTCTATTGCTACGCTTACTGGGATAAACTTCATCTTTTTTTCCTCCTTGGGTCATTAGACTGTGCACTTTTTGGCCATAGTCTGATTTATCCTTGTCTTACCTACTCCATTTTCGGGCATGGGAAATCATATCTTCTAGTACTTGCTTCAACTTGGGCATCAATCTGGCATCCAAGGCCTACCAAGATACGGTTATAGGGCAATGGTTCATCAGTGATCACAAACTTCTAGGGGTTGACGATATGGGGTGAGTAGATGTCGAGCTCAATGATGCCAACAGTGGTAGATGTGGTGTCATTAAAACTAGATAGCCGACTGGACTTATTTGTTAAGCTTCTCTATGCCAAGTTTCTTGGTGACAAAAAGTTGAAGGATATTGGCGGCACTTTCTTCGCCTGTATGAACACATTTTATTTTCGTGTGAGCAATCGAGGGGTTGATAAGTGTGTCATGGTGAGATTACATATATTTTAAGTATAAATAAACACTTATTTATATGAAATATAGTATACTTACTTAAATCCGCCTAGCCGCTAGGCCTCAGCCTGCTGCCCGACTAGCACCTAACTTCTTTTAGAACCTTGAATAGAACACTGTCGTAGCTTGGTGGATCTTCTTTGTCTTCTCTTTGGATGTGAAGCCAAGGTGCTTGGACTCTGCGAGGATCAAATTGACCAAGATGACCTTCATCATCATAGCCTTTGGTGCGTTTGCATCTCTCGTCTGCTACTTTGCCTTGTTCGTGAAGAGTTCTGTACATCTTCCTTGCTTCCAGCTTGTAGATACTCTTTCTTGGAAAAATCATCATTTGTTGCAAGGCATCACTTTCTTGGAGAGTTCTACTTCTTGGTCGAATCTAGTAACTTAGTTGCCTGTTTCTCATCGTCCCAAAGCGTGTGACACTTTGGTAAGTCAAAAGTCTCAACCAAGGTCTGATTTGAGGTCATGGTAATGTCTCCACGGAGAGGATGGTCTACTAGCAGTCATCTCTTGAAAGTTGTCCAAGTGATTTTTTAGTAATAATCTTAGCCTTCTCAGTCTTAAAGCGCTAAATGTACTCCCCAATAGACTCGCCAAGCTTCTTGACCACACTGAAGAGGTGATCAAACAGCTTTTTGATAACTCAGTAAAACAAATACTCCTTTGGGAAGACGAAAGCGAGTTCCTCGAAATTGTCAATAGATCATGGGGCCAAAGTGTGGAACCAATTCTATGACGCTCCCTACAAATTCATGGCAAAGAAATTTCACATCAAGAATTTGTCTTGCTTGTGAATCGACATAACACTTTGTAGTGCTTTAGGTGCCAGTCTAGGTACATCTCCCTTCAGTGGCGAAGCTAGAATTTGTCGATAGGAAGGGAGAACTTTTGAAGGGTAAATGGTTTTAAGAAAATGTAGACAACCAAATCCTTTTAGATAGTAGACAATATTAATGTTGTTCTTAAGTAACAATTGTTGACGGCGAGGCTTCATGTCATGAATCGCATTGAAATTTTGACGTGAGAAAAGGTGTTGGTTGAAGATACTTGGTAAGTGTTATTATCTAAAAATTAGGATGTTATAAAAAGAAAAAAAAAAAAAAAAAAAAAAAGGGATGTTATCTGTAGGTGTAATACTTGGTCGTAATATGCAAAATTTTTTTTTTTTTTTTTTTTAAATAACAGGATATTATTTCAAAAAAAAAAAAATGTTATCAAGGGACCAAATAATAAAAACAGGATGTTATCAAAGGATTACGCATGTTTCCCTTAATTTTTTTTTTTTTTTTTGAAAAATGACATTGCATGTAATTAAACCAAATTAGGTCAGATGAGGCCATCTTCTTCCAGTTTTTGCAATGGCGTCTTGCCTGCAAGCTTGCAAAGCTAATGCTTTTCCAACCAACTACCTATGCAAAATTGCAAAGCTAATAGGCCATTGCAGCCTCGCAACAAAGCAACATCAGTAAGCAGAGGGGCAGAATCTCGCTTTTAGGCTTGAATTCCATCGTTGCTAGGCTTTATTTCCGATGAAGGAAGGGGCGGCTGCCCCTCTCTGTCTATCTGAAGCTTCGGCTGTGTCTCCTTTAAATAGTGTGAAGGATGATGTGGAGAACCTATAAGGAGGTTTAATGCTCATTCTCGTCCATGAATGATGAAACATTCACGGTGGTCACCTACTTGTGAAGTGGCTCAACACTATATAATATTTCAGGTGTCGTTTTAGGTCTGAATCTCCTCCTTAAACATCATTGAAGATGATGTGGAAAACCTCTAGGGAGGTTACGCATGCTTGATCTCGTCTGTGAATGGAGAAACATTCATGGTGGGCACCTATCTGTGTAGTGTGTCCTTCAAATTTTCTTTTAGCCTGAAGTCTATGTGTCACTTGTTGATCAACCATTGTATGTCCTTGAGTTATATGGGTTGTCCTCCTACCTGCAGCTCTACTGGTCTGCGATTTCTCGATGGTCTACGCTCAACTTCTTGCAACTGCTAGACAGGAGAATTGGCGGAGTTTACTTCCAATGAATAGTCATGCTCCTCCACCTCTTGGATGGTATACTAACCTGATTGCTTAGGCATAACCCTAGAAGCAAGGAGAGAGTGAATGTTTCGTCATGAGCCTTGTCAATTACGAGAAATTTCTTTAGGGATCGAGTTGAGTATAAATACTGGCCCTCGACCCTAAGTAGGAAGACACATCGGAATGGGGGCCCAACCTGGAATGAACACCCTTGGATACTTCACTCCTTGATTGCAAGCTCTTTCCCTGTCTGCTAGATGGTCTTCAAGCACTTGGCTATGCTGTTAACAGATAGGAATTGTAACATCTACGAATTCTTGTCTTAGCTATCTACAGAATTACGATCCCTGCTCCATTTGATTTGGCAAGCCAAGATCAAGGTCTAAAACTAGATTAGGATGAGGAAAGAGTTGATTGAGGATCTTCGTTTATTGACTAAGCGCTATCCTTAGGTGTGCAACTGGTAAAGAAAGAGCATTCGAGTGGGTAATCCCCTGTGGTTTGCTCTGGCTCAGGCTTGCTAACAAACTCATTCTGCACTAAGGGCATAGCAATTTGAAACTAAAATGATAGGCCGAAGGCTATTGAAATTAGGGTTTCCAAATACGGGCTATGGTCGTAGAATTTATTCAATTAGATCATCCGCGGGGAAGGGGGTAGTGTCACTTGATAAGTGGTGGCTGAACAAGCGGCATCACTTTAACAGGTAGCTGTCAAGTTTGAGGTGATTGTTTGAAGAGGGTGGTTGAATGTGGTGGGGTCGCGCCATTGGTTACTATTAATGTTACTGTTTTTGTTGTGGCACCGCGATTAAGGTCGTGGCACGTGATGGTGGCACGACGACAATTTGGGCCTCCACAAAGTCGCGATAATCCTAATTTGCTGCGAAAATGGCTTTAACCATAGATAAAAGGTGCGCCCAGGGATGTGATCGATGAAAGTTTTAAATTCACATTTTCGGGCCTCAGAGAACCCGTGACAATCCCAGATTTTAAGGATTGATTGTTGGTGTTATTGCTTTCCGTTCTTCTCGTATCTGCCATGGTTGTTCAATATGAATAAAGATGATAAATGATGAATAAAGGAATTTGAAGAAAGATTTTGGGTTTTACTTTCTTTGCTCAGATCCAATTCGACCAATCCGCAACACTACCACCCCGTCCCGAAAATTTACTTTTTTGAGAAATAATTTCGGTGGTAGGCCAAAAATAAATACTAGATTATCAAACCACATCTACCATCGGTTAGATAAATACTAACATGATAATCACAATCGTTGGTAACCCATTTACCATCATTGGCTATACGCAGCCATTACCACAATTTTCTTCCAAATTTCTAGTCAAAATCATTGGCAATACCAAACATCAGAAAGTTTTTGCCATACCCAATACTGGCATAAAGAAATATCATAAATTCCAGCCATAACTATCTTAGGCTAAATAGATATCAGAATTTCAAGCCATAATCATCAATGGCTAAGTACATATCAAAATTTCAAGCCAAACCATTAGAATTGGCAAATCAAACACCAAAATTCCAACCAAAATCATTGGAATTTCCAATCACACTCACAGGGTACTGGAAAGAAGTTTAAAACCAAATCCGTAATACCATCAATATTGAACGAAATCAAATCTCATTCTACAATTTCATTCATATCCACAATTAAACTAAATTACCCATAATAAATTTAAAAGCCTTTTAAATCTTTCTTTCAATTGTTCCTCTTTTAAAATTGCTTCATCAGTTTGGTTTACAATATCAAATCCAACAATGCTAACTCATGACTATGGCAACCAAACCAATCAAATTTGTGATTACAACTTTGCCCATCAATTCTTTTCATCAAACGTAAAAACACAACTGGGAAGTTGTTTATATTAAACGAACTCAAAATCTAATCCCATCATTTTATTCATGACCACCAATAATTCAATAAATGAAGAATCTCCATGGTCTTCCCACCATTTCAATTATAATGGATAATCATAACCTCAGTTTATGATTTCATTTTTCGTTCGATAAATCATCATGACTTTCATCAATATTAGAATTTCCATCCATCTCTATTATTGGCCATACAATTGTAAAGAATTTCTAAGCATAATCATCATTGGCCAAACAAAGATTTTACCATGATTTTCTTTTTATCCCAGTTAGTGACTAGTAGACTGGAAAAGATTGCAATACACCTGGCCAATACACATCACACATTTTTTTTTTCACTTCGATCATTTATTCTCACAGCCTACACATGGAGCTTTTTCCCGGAAACATTGGATCTTTGTGACCATTCAACCATTCCTTCCAATTTCACAGGTCATTTTGCCCACTCATTGTTCACGGGACCATTTTGCCCAATCACACATCCTCGGGCATTTTTATCCAAATGACATGTCACATCCTGGCCTGGGTCCCCACCACCTCCTGGGCTCAAATCCACCGTAACAC